GAAACACAGGGAATCCAGGACAGATAAACCCCTCAGGACCAATAGTGAGAGTGGAGATACCAGGAGGGAAAGGAGAAGGTGGGGGCAGAAAGGGGGAACCAATCATGATTTACATATAACCCCCTTCCTGAGGGGATGGACAACAGAAAAGTGGGTGAAGGGAGACTATGGTCAGTGTAAGACATGAAAAAAACAAACAAATTATAAATCATCAAGGGTTCATATGGGAGGAAAGTTGGGGGAGGGGGGAGATGAGGAGCTGATACCAAGGGCGCAAGTAGAAAGACAATGCTTTGAGAATGATTATGGCAACAGATGTACAAATGTGCTCGACACAAAGGATGGATGGATGGATTGTGATACGAGCTGTACAAGCCCCCAGTAACATGATTTTTTTTAAAGAAGAAGATCAAAATAGTGCTCAGTTACAAAATAATACGAACTTGAGCACAACGTGCATTGCCAATGTGCTCTCAAGCAATGAACCACATTGGTGATATTTGGTTTGCATCAGCCTGGTTTTCCGACCCACGGTGTTTGAGATAAAGAAAAGGAGCCTGGTAGAAAAATTGGTGGACGACAACTCTGTTAACTGGCTGCTTTGCCCTTCTGACCAGTGACAGGAACATGCCAGGTGTCACTTAATGTAGAGCCTGAACCCTGGGACCCTTTCTTTTTCCCGACCCGACAATGGCAGAGACCTGCCGTGGAGCTGGAGACCAGAGGAGTCCAAATGCTTTGAATCAGTGGATTTCAATTGGGTATGAGAACCTGGGGCAAAAATAACCTGCCTCTAAGAAAGCGTCCTGCAAGGCCTCGATTTGGCTGGGCCTTCAAACAGCAGCAGCCAAGGGTCAAATGTTAGCCGAGCTGCCTGTGAGCGTGGGGAAGGTGGCTCTGGCTCTAGGATGTTCTCCAGAGAAAGATGATCCTGATGATCTGATTATTGGGATAGAGTGCGTGGTGTTTGTGTGATGGGAAATGGCCCTGCAGTGTATCCTTTGCTCTGATCCTTGTGACGAGGCGTGACCCTCCCCTCTCTCTGTGGTTGTCCTCTTTCCGCAGGAGGCTGCCCTCTGTAGACAGCTCCCCGTGGAAGCCGAGGGCATGGCCACCATCCAGGCTGCTGTCAACGCCCCGGCCATGACCCCAGACATGAGACCGATCACAAACAATGGCTCGGATCCTTTCCTCAATGGGTAAGTGGCTTTGGGAGGCATTTCTCTTACTTCTTTATTGTGGGGTCTACAGTGCCTGCGTGTGGGGAGCAGGGGTAGGGGTAGAAGTCTGGGGTGGGGGGTGGGGGGTGTAGGATAAAAAGCAAAGCAAAATAAGTCATTTATATCTCTTAAAATCTTAAATTCTGGTTCTCTGGCATAGAGCAAAAGCCCCGATCAGGAATTGTTATAAGGAGATGCCCTTACAGCTGACATGCGATGGTGTTGGGTAGTCATTATTTGGTAGGAACTTGCAGCTTTATCTCCAGCAGGGACAAAGGCATGGCGCAAAGAGAACAAAACGCTTAGGTGACCATGGTCATAGCGAAATCTGAGTAAAGCCGGTGGCTGAGCTCATAGTTTGATACAACGTGGACATCCTGCTTTCGACCGGTGTGCTCCATTCATATAAGCTGCTGGCCTTGGGAGAAGCTGTGTGATGGACACAGGGGAATGCTCTGTACTCTCTTTGCAGCTTCCACGGGAGTCTAAACTTATCGAAAACTAGGAAATAGTAATTTTAAAAAGGAATTCTCTTTTTAAAAAGGAGAGGACAGTTAACCAGGAGTATCTTCAACCTTAATTGCAGCTTTTAAACCTTTATTTCCTTTATCTTTTCTACTCCTGGAGACGCTTATGGCAAGCAAATGACTGCAATTGTAAGGGCTGCTAAAGATGGAAAGAGAGAAATGAAAATAGGGAGCAGACTCTTAAATTATTGATTTTCTAGTATTTCAAAGATCTGAGAACTTATAAAGAATAATATAAGAATTACCCATATACCTACCCACCATCAAATTTTGTCTCATTTTTATCTGATGGGTTTGTAAAAAAAATAGTTTCATGGGTGCATACTTAGATGGAAAGCAATGTAATCAGTCAATCCTGCTGCGACCGTGTGATCCTCACCACAGTCAATTTCAGAACAGGTCCTTCTGGGGCTCATGCTGTCAGCCCCCCGTTCCCCATCCTCCCTCCGCGTCCCCAGGCAATTTTAAATCCAGTCACTGTCTCTGTAGATCTATCAGCCCTGGGTTTCATAGACAGAAAAGCATACAAAACGCAAACAGGAAGCAAACCAAGAAAAACAAACACACACAAAAAAAACCAACAACAATGACTAGACAAAACACAGACAAACCACAATCCAAAACAAAGCACAAAATATGAAAAACTGAAAAAACTTTAAAATGGATCAAAAGGAAGCTCAAATGATAAGGCATTACATTTTAACCTAACTACCCCTGCCATAATCGACTTTACAATGTTGTCTTCTCTGATGACAAGTTTGCTCACATCCCTAAACGGGTCCGAGGGAATTCACCGGAGGCTTACTCTGTGTGAGCACCCTGCAAATGGATTTGGGGCTTCTACTGCCATCCATAGCCTTCTGCAAACCAGGTGCCTCACCATTTCTGCTCTGATACCATTCCCTCCTTTGCACTTGGACTTTGTTCCTTACAATCCTTTGGGTCACACGGCTGGTGTGATTCTTCCCTGTGGACTTCATTACTGCCCTTCCTTAGATGGCTGCTTATTTGAAGACAAGCCTTTAAGACCCCACGTACTATTCTTTCTGATAGACACCATCTGGTTACTTCACCACACCTTGATGGTTTGTTTTTGTATTTTTAAATAAAAAACTTGCAAATATTTTAATCCTACCCCTACCACCACTGAATCCTCATTTCCCCCCTTCTTTCTTCTTCGGTGATAGCAACTACCCCGGAATTGCTGTATGTCCAACAACAATCTCTCATACATATCACTACCTTTCATGTGTGTACCCAAAAGCAATGATCAATATAATTTCCTAATTAAGATTTTGTTTATGTAAGTGGTGTAGATGTGTGTGTGAATGTATTATGTGTATAATTGTGCTATTTGAAGATGAGGAGGAAGTCAATGTCACCCTCCTGTGAATAGCCCATTTTATTTGCTTCTAAAGATAGGTTTCCAAACTTATTTGGCCCATGACTTCCTTTTCCTAAAAAAGGACTCAGTGCATCGCAGTTAATTAAGAACTTTTGTTCCATGGGCCACAGTCCAGGATAACGTGTGGTATCTGCTTTCACAGCACGCCCCAAACTGGGGCAGTGCCCCCCAGAGGGGAGGTGTATTGCCTATTTGGGGAAACGCTGGCTCACACCTTCACTGTTGGCCCTGAGGCTGAGAGATGCACTTCCCCTCACCACCCGGGGAACGGAGAGAAGGGTTAGCTCTTGTGGTGTGGCGTGTTGACGTGTTGCATGTTGACGGCGGCTGTCTGTGAACTGCGACTTCTCTGCTGAGCTCGCATGGTGAAGCTGCGCCTCTCACTCCTCAGAGGGTCCTACCATTCCAGGGAGCAGAGCACTGACAGCGGCCTGGGGCTGGGCTGCTACAGCGTCCCCACAACTCCGGAAGACTTCCTCAGCAACGTGGATGAGATGGACACTGGTAGGAGCCGAGCGCTGTGGTTTTATATATATTTTTTCTATTTATTTGTTTATTTCTTTTGTTTAAGTCATTTTATTGGGGGCTTGTACAACTCTTAATCACAATCCGTACATCCATACATCGTGTCGAGCACATTTGTACATTTGTTGCCATCGTCATTCTCAAAGACATCTGCTTTCTACTTGAGCCCTTGGTATCCGCTCCTCATGTTTTCCCTCCCTCCCCGCCCCCCACTCCCTCACGAACCCTTGATAACTCATAAATTATTATTATTTTGTCATGTCTTACATTGTCCGATGTCTCCCTTCACCCTCTTTTTCGGTTGTCTGTCCCCCAGGGAGGGGGTTATACGTAGATCCTTGTGATCGGTTCCCCCTTTCTACTCTACCTTCCCTCCACCCTCCCGGTATCGCCACTCTCACCCCTGGTCCTGAGGGGATCATCAGTCCTGGATTCCCTGTATTTCCAGCTCTGATCTGCACCAGTGTACATCCTCCGGTCCAGCTGGATTTGTAAGGTAGAATTGGATCATGATAGTGGAGGCGAGGAGCACTGTGGTTTGAAACGGTCTCCCCAGTCATCTCAACTCTGGAATCCCTCCATTAAACATCAGCATCCACAGGCGCCCCAAGCGCTCTGCCCACTTCCACCTCGTCTATGCCGGTGGTCGGCCCCACGTGGGCTCGAGAGCCGTATTCGGAGAGCGAGGGTCGGACGAGTGTGTCTAAGCGCACAGCTAGAGAGCTCATCTTATGACACCAGACTGAGCCCTTACTCCTGTCTGACTGCACCGAAAGGACAGGTACCGCTTCCCGTCTTCTCCCCGGGTGTCGCCTTCCTCCAGGAGAGCATTCTCCCTCCTCCATTCCACAGAACTGCGGTTCATTAGGATATCAGCACATGCCTCCAAAATAGAACGGGGTGATTAAGCAGATTTAGGAAACACTAACTTTAAAATAAAACCGGTTTGCTTGTTGCAAGTCACTTCAAAACCTCAGCATGCTCATGTGCAGTGTGCCCGACTGAGAAGGGGAGGTGGTGGGGAGGTGGTGGGTGTGGAGGGCAGGGGCACATCTGCAGAGCCCACTGGAGAGAATGGTTTGAAAATGAGGCCCGGGGCCATCAATGAAGAGAGTTTTTAATGACACGGTTAAAAGAAACTCCTCTCCTATTGTCTTTGAACCTGTGAGTAAATGCAGGCTTATCGTTAAACCCTGAGACAACAGCTCTGCACGAAGGTCTTTATCACAGGTAGAGCCTCTGCTGTCCTAAAACAGCCTCTGTCGAGGGAGGCTCGGATCTCAGAGCACGGCGCCTTTGCTGCTCCTGTCTGACCGCCCCGGGAGAAAGAGGAGCTTTCTACTCCCGGAGAGTCGCCGCCTTGGGAATTCACAGGGAGGGGTCTAGCCTGCCCTGCTGGGTTGCCAGGGGTTGGCCTGTGAGCCGATGGTGGAGTTTGGGTCCGTGATCATCTCCCTGGACTTCCCATGGAGAAGCCCCTGGGGACGGGTCACCTGCCCTTCCTGCTCAGTAGCCATGCTATGGCAGCTGAGAGTCACCAGCGAGGCGAATCTTTCCGGACCAGCCGCGAACATCTTCTTCAGCGTCCAGGGCAGGCGCGGGGGAAGGAAATAAACACAGGTGCAGTGAACGTTTGGACGCTTCCTTTTTCCCAGGGCTGCAGTGAGAGAGTTGAAACGGCTGTTTCTCATTTTCTTGCAGGAGAAAATGCAGGTCAGACCCCGATGGCCATCAGTGCCCAGCACACCCGCTTCCCGGACTTCCTTGACTGTCTTCCGGGAACCAACGTTGACCTGGGCACTTTGGAATCTGAAGACCTGATCCCCCTCTTCAACGACGTGGAGTCTGCGCTGAACAAAAGCGAGCCCTTCCTAACCTGGCTGTAATTGGTCCCCTTGCCACGTGCATGCAGCTGGTAGCCTGCCATTTCCAGGGCCCTGGAAAGAGCGGTGGGCCAGCATATGTCTGCAGGTGCACCCCTTTCTGCATCCAGGGCTCTTGCTCTGTCCTTTCCATGTGGCCAGCTTAATTGTGGCCAGGCTTTGATTCGCAGTAGCTTCAGATGAACTCATAAATCAGTATTATATTTTTATCCTCTGCGAGCCCGCATTCCTGTGATGGCTGATGAAGATTTGTCTCTGCAGCATTGATGATTTGAAATGGTTTCTTTTCCTTGCTCCGCCCCCCCCCCACGGCTTCATGATTAAGCTGTATGGGTGATCATTGAACATGAGAGATCAATTGATTAGAAATCACAAAAAACTATCCTTGGAGGTTGGTCCAGAAATGTGCACAAAAGTAAGACCTGATTTGCAAGTTTCAAAAGCTGTATTGTGGCAGTAATATTCAGTGCTTTAAATATATATATATATCTGACATTTGAGCTTTAAAACTCATGGTGAAACTCTGGTGGAGGGATACAGTGTAGCTCGGAATCCACGCTGGCTCCGAGGACTCTCAGTGCTCAGTATTTACAAAGGCCCACACAGCCCTGATGTAGCCTCACTCTGGCCGTCTCCTGCAGAGGCTGGAGCGGACTAGAGCATCCCCCCCACCCATGGGAGCAGCTCTAGCCACACACAGTTCCCACATTGGGGGTCTTGGGAAGATTCCAGCTTGCTACTAATTCCGAGCGTTGACGCAACACACCCTTTCTTTAAAATTGTGCCTTGCTCTTTTCATTTTTCAAAATATTGCAGCTTAGAGTTGGAGGTGGATGGTGGTTCACAGCAGACCACACAAGAGAGCCAAGTGCTCCGGATCCATCAGCAGCAAGTCCTTCGCTCGCTGTTTGAGATGGTTCTGGGAAATAGCAGCTGCCTTTCTGAAGTCTGGAGCAGGCGGGTCAGTTTTGCTTTTTAGGGATGCCCAATGCTTGTCATGATCTTATCCATGAGACTATTTGAAGGATGAAGCAGCTCTGACAGATGTGTGTGTATGTAAACAAACAAACACAAAAATGCCCTCTGTGGGTGGAAAGTGGAGACCTGTGTTTCTGAAGTCAGTAAGCGGATCTCTGCCCGTATCCTCCTGACCCTGTTTGCTGCCACTGGTGTGACAGGCCTGCCTTATGGACTCAATACCTCTGATGTAACCAGGAACGTTGTTTTCGTAGCTTTTAAGGACGGAGAGAGCATGTCGGGCTCGAAGTCTGCCTGCCATGCTGATGAAGTCCTCAATCGCTCAACCCCTCCAACCAACGTTATTTATAATCTATGGACTTAATCTCTTAAAAATGTATGGTTTGGAGAAAACATTAATAATTCAGGTCTCTGAAAGGAACCTTTTGATTCCCAAAGGAGCTTATCGGTGGGGGATCTTGGATCTTTTTTTTGGCATGCCAGACAGGCTGGGGGCATGCAGAATAATACACTTGACCATGTTGGGAAGAGGCAAGTGAGAAGGTCAGAGATGGAGGAAAGTTAAGGGAATCTAGTGGAGCAACGACTAGTGGCCAAGCGGCATGAGAGACGTCGTGGCCCCCACCCTGCACCCCCCTAGAAAAGAAGCAGGAGGTGGGAGAGGTGCCCAGGAAAGAATGAAGCAATGATTTCCTGCTACAACGTTTATACCAAGAGTGTTGTAGAGGGAAAAACACCGTTGGTGCACTTTAGGTGGGAAGAGGCGGGTAGGGCTGGTGGAGCCCTGCCCACGGAGTGGTTGGGCCTGTAGCAGACAAGCACACAAGCCTGCTGGGACTTCCAAGGCAGTAGGAACTCTTCCCAAGATGCCCATGGTCACGTCCCCCTAATTCCTTCCCCTCTCTCCGAGCACTCTGGGAGAGATGGGGTAGATGTCTACTTGGCTACTACATTGAAGGAGTGCTATTTTTTTTTTCTTGTGTGTTAGCAATAGTTGCAAAAAGAGTTGCACATTCTAAGAAGAAAGAAAAACAAGGGACCTAACACAATGAAGCAGTGTTACTGTATTTTTAAAATATTTTTATAGACTCATTTTCAGGTTGTTAAGCATCATAAATGGATACCCTCTCTCTCTCTTTAAAGTAATCAAAACAATGATGAATTCTGCACTACCAGTTTTTAAAAGTGATTTTCTAGGAGGGTTGTGGCATTAGAAAACACTTAGATTTTAATTTTTTAGCAAAACGAGTTGGGACATTTATTACTGAGCATCATAAATGCTCTTCCAAAATAAAGGATAGATCCTGACTATATGTTGACTCATAGATAAGGGATTTTTATTTTTTTGGTGGGTTAAGGCCACAAAGTATGGCCGTTATCGGAAAACACTAAAACTAGAATCCCTAAAGGAGGGACAATTTTACATGGGATGCTTTCTATCAGTGTAAATAAAATTTCCTGAAGAATTCATGATACGGTGCTATATGGAAGCTACATTTCTTGCTCGGAAGCAATGGCCAGGGCGTCTGGTCTTCTTCATCCTGAGTGAGTCAATGAACCCCTTGTCACCCAGTACGTTAGCCATGGAAAGGGTATTTTAGGAAGTGAAATTGAAGAAGAATTTCATAAATCTTTGATGGGTTTTCCCCCCTCCCCTGATATCTCGAAGTGAATACATTGTCGAAACCTGTCTGTAGCTCTGTTCAATCTAAGTGACGTTC